TATTCCTGCGTCTTTTGTGATCTTACAAAGCTTCAAACGACGCGGTGACTATTAAATTAGTTGTGACTAGCTGACTAATCGTGGCAGCCCTAGTTCACACTGATGAATCGGTCAAGCTTGAAAAAAAATGCAACTCAAGTGTTGTGTCTACACACAGCAGACAACTTGGCAAAGACCCAACTCAAGTTGAACCTCGAGGCACTTGCAGGTTATTAGCAGCCTGCTGACCGACTCCCATTTCTTTTGTTGAACTTGTGAAAAAGGCCAATCATAACAGAGTTTGACAGGAATATTTCAGCATCATGTGAAGTGTCTCTGTGAATATTTTTAAGGGAAATGAACACACGGAGGACGAGAAGAAATCCTGTCCTTGAAAACTTGGGAAAAACCAGCAAAGACCTGTTCCGGGACCCGAGGGATACATCTGTCCCTTCAGCTGATTGTCTACTGTTCACTGAAGCCTCCTCAAAAATGGTCTCAGTGGAAGGGTGGCTGTCAAAACGTTACTCTTAAGGCAGGGAAGCAGGGAGAAATGGGTGGGCTATGCCAAATGACACAAGAAATCCAAAGAAAATCAGTGTCAACAAGTCCTGTGAAGTGATGAATCCACATTTGATCCAAATTTTGATTCACCATTTGGAAAGCATCCGATTGGCAGCACTGACAAACAAACTGCCACTGCAGTCAAAACGAACCTGGATGGAAAACATGGACAAGCCTCCCAGAGCCTGTTCATAGTTTCCAGTGTGGTATCATCCTGACAGGGAATGGAACAAAGTACAGCCTCCAAGAAGAGAGCTTTGGGATGTGCCTCGTGAAGCCTCACAGAGTTCAGGCTGTGTTCCAAAATAAAGGTGGTCATACGAACATTGACTTCCCTGCTGTGGCAGACGCTTGTGAACGAGGCAGCGTATAAAAGTCACTTTCATTTCCAAATATGCTGCACTTACTTCCCTTTTGTTAGAAAACAAAAAATGAAGTAGTGGCGTTTGTACTCACAGTGTATCTGGAGGC